ATATATATATATACATTCTTTCAAATTCATGACACATAATGCTAACGTATATAGCGCCATCTATTAAAAAACCTCCAACAAAGTTACAACAATAACTAATAATACTAATAATGCTAGTCCAAAGGTCCTATAACTGATGAATCACCATTATGTTTATATCAGATTGGTATTTGGACTGAATGTAATTAACAAAATACGTTATAGTCATTGTGGCCTATTTTTTGTGGGATAACAATTTCAGATTTTTATGACAATTCGGTTTGTTGTGTCTAATCCTGCTTTATTTGCCTATTGTGTGTAAAGCATAATGTTAGTATCATAAACTATTACGTTATTACGATGTTGCTAAGATTTCCCGAGGTCAGCAATGGTCGCTACAAAAGGAGAGATCCCTGCACTATTTTCTGGTAAATACGGCGGAGTTGCAAAAAAAAACAAAAACAAAAAAACAAAAAACATGGCTCTCTAATAATGAGCAATCTTACTTCGAATTTCCTCTCTCCTGCTAGGCCCCACTAGTTATTGTTGATGATGGTTTTATAGACCACAGTAGCTTAGCTACAAGGTGTACTCAGGGAATATTTCAGTCATCTACTAGAGTTGAATCACGAGTCTAAGATAAATTTGAACCAGGAGCTCGATGAACACCATGGTTTCACGCAAACACAGTTTCCCCGGTCATTTAATGTCAAAATATCTTTATATGCGATCATAAAACTAATATAAGGGTAAACGACCATGACATAATCATAAATTTCTTTTGAAGCTTTGCTTGATTTTTTTAATGTAACCGTACGGTACCCTATATGGCCGGCTCAGAAGTACGCTGACGAGAAGTTAATTACCGTACTTCATGATTGACGGCAAACGACTTATTATAACACAAATATAATATTTGTGTGATTATTCGCAATCATCATCGGCTTTACGCGATTATTACGTAGATGCGTATCTTTATGGTTATATCAAAGGTGAGCCGTCGTCTGATGTCAAACAAATGATTCCATTAACATTTTGCCTTTATTTACTAGATGATTAAAATCAAGATGTAGGCCTATGCAGTTTTACGTTGAATTGTGTTATTTTGTTCAATAAGAGATACTACTTTCATGTATGGAGTGTGTATTATACGTACTGTGTCAGGTTATGTAAGGGATGTTATAGACCCAAATTATTGCCGTTGTCAACCAGACTATCCCTTTTATCAACAATGTCATGTATGTATGCAATTATTTTTTGTGACGGGCTTTTATGGTTATAGTAAAGAAACGTTATCATGAATATATTTGTCATTTTCGATTTCACTAATTTATTCCATCAATGCTATTCTTTATTTGTTATTCACCATAAACCCGAATGTTCGGATCGGAAGGCCTACCGACCCAATCAGATAATCGAATCAGTGTATAAGAATAGGGCTGCTGGCCTTCAGCGCTTCGGAAACAAGGTCCGAATTTCGGCTCGGATCCGAAGTTAATGCAGTTTAATGAAACTATGCATATTGGGGTAAGGTGGTTGCACCATTAAGGTTTTAGTGACCCGCATACCCCTACCCTTATCGAACTATGCATCAAGGGTGTAGGGAATCTATTAATTGATACAACATTTTGGGTTACATCGCCATATAATTTGTATACATTTTTACTAAATATTTGCAGATGCAAGCTTGTGCGATCCAGGGGAGTTCTTCTGTAAGACAGCAGAAACTTACGAATGCGTCGACTGGCATCAAGTATGCGATAGAGTACAACATTGTCGAGACGGCTCAGACGAAGCTGACTGTGGTAAGACATGCTTTTGCTGGTTGCACCGGCAACCCACATCTCCATCCAAAGGAATGCTTCTACCAGTATCATACATCAAACTAATTTACATTTCAGTCAAGTAATACTCAGACTCATATACAATAAGTAATTTTCATAATAAAACATTTATTTCAGCATTACTACGATGAACCAGATATCAATTTTTATAGTTTCTATTTTTTCAAACAATTTTTAATTTTTCTACTTTGACGTCATATGACGTCACATATGAGGTCATATTGTCTATACCAAAATTATACAATTAGACAGAGGAGGTCGCAATGATAAAGAATATATACACTTTTGCTATTTTTTCCCCTAATTTCTAATTTTTCAATTTATGACGTCATATGACGTCATTATGACGTCATTATGACGTCACATGTCATATTGTCTATACCAAAATTTATAATTAGACAGAGAAGGTCTCAAGGATAAAGAATATATATACTTTTGTATATATTTGAAAGCCAGTTAAAAACTTATAACGCTTTTTCTATATATCTCCTATTTTCCCCAAATTTCCTGAATTTTATTCCGTCCAGATATGAGAAATATTGAATAGGAAATTACGTAGTGAAAGAGTTATAAAGTATATAGGACGTGTATATATATACACGTACATATACATACACATATATATATACGTATACACTTATATATATATATATATATATATATATATATAGAAAACATGAAAGATATAAAAATAGATTTATTCGAGCACCGTTATTGTTATTACGCAAGAAATTACACAAATATTGTTATAATAATAATAATAATAATTATTATTATTATTATTATTATTATTAATAACATTATTATCATTATAATAATATTTATTATAATTATTATTATTACTATTATTATTATTATTATCATTATTATTATTATCATCATTATTGTTTTTCTTGTTGTTATTGTTATTATTATTATAATGTTATATTCATCCTCTCGTCTTTCCAGGAATAAATGCTTGGGTATACATGGTTTTCTTTATTGTTGTCGGCACCTTCGTCATCGGCGGATTAGCATCGTGCTATGCCCACTTTTCCTCCACCGAAACACCCACTGGGCATCCTCGTAGACGTCACCGTAACGCAAACGGCCACGATGACGTATCAAGAGGGAACGTTCACTCTATTGAATCCCATTCAGTTGTCTACTTTAAAGATCCACCACCCCCATACGACATAGCTATTTCCATGGTGAAGAATCCACCTAATTATGAAGATTTACAGTTTTCTATATCATCGCCAATTTGAAACATGAAATATTTATGATTTTTTTTTTGTATAAAAAAATATAGGCCTACCTATAGTATCTGGAAATTTTACTTTGCCAGGACACTATTTTAGTGAACAGTCCCCTAATAAAGCAGATATAGGCGTATTTGCTTTCACTTGGATATGTTATAAGCCCTAACATCTAAAAAAGGTCATTACGGTGCCTATGTGTTTTTAACGTTTAATATAGTCTGCAGAAATGTAAATATCCATCTTTGACTGGCTATGATGCAGCGGTAGCCTATCTGTCCAGACGCAATTTTACAGACGAATCGATGTCGATTCAGCTTTAAATTACCGTATTTGTCATCAGTTGATTGTTTTCTCATTTTAAGAAAGACTTAAATACGTCGCCAAATATTAATATTTAATTAATTTATATTTAACTTGATTCTGTTGTTGTTTCTTTGTTTGTACTTTTTCTTCTGTAATTTGTCAAAGGACCAACCGAGACAAGCTTGCTTCTAGATTGGTCCTCATCTATGCCTTGTTTTATGTGTATGTATATGGCAATGGTGAAACAAAGCTTTGATAATTTGATTTGTTTTGAACAGTTATGTAGTTGGTCGAACTAGATTCATATAAAATGAGAGTAAATAAAGGCTGTATGCTGCCATGGACACCTCAAATATTAAACTCACTGTTTGTTTGTTTAGTGTAATATAGAATAGACCTTCTATATCCTTAGGGCAACCGTTGTACATGATAGAACGGGAGAACAAGAGCGGAAAAGAATATCTGCAAAGCTGCATACTAGATACTTAAAAACGTATAGGTCTATTTAAATAAAGCAAAATGCCCTTAGCACATTGTTCAGAAACTACCGTAATACACTATATTAATAGATGAATAGAAACTACGGAAAACCACAGACTTCCTTGTCCCAATTTTGGAAATCATATTATTAATGCTTATTTTTCCTTCTGTTCCTTATTTATTCTGTCATTAATAATCGTGCAGCTAATATATGCATTGGCGGATTCAAGGGGTGGGATGATGGAGCAGCCCCCACCCCACTTCCTCAATTTTTTTTTTTCTAAATTGTAAAAAATTGGAGAAAAAAGAAAATTGATTCAAATTCTAAGTCAGAGAGTGCCATTTCTGGCCATTTAGAGGTGACATAATCGTACAATTTCTTACCTCAGCAACAACCATGGTGGGGATGAGGTGTTATAGACCCTCCATCTGCTGCAGTTCCTCCCTGGGCCCCCTCTACTTCAAATTCCTCTACTCCTAATTCCTAATTCCCAAGGTTGACATAATTGCAACAAAACTTTTTTTTAATGAATATTATATATATGATATTAAGCTGTAGATGGATTATAATATATATGGTATTAAGCTGTGATTAGTATAAAGAAACGTGACGAATGGTGGATCCATGCTAGGGCGTTGTGGCCAACCTAGTATTAGTAATATAATATGTTAAAGTTTATTTCTATAACATACATAAAGTTTAGCAAAGAGCATCCACCGCAAGGGCGATTTTTATAGCAGAGAAAAATATTTCAGTTAGCTATTACGCTCTGATGTGTACGCTATTATCGACCGCGATAATTGGATCAGTCGCTCGCGCTTCTGATTGGTTAAACTGGGAAGAAATGAGACTGTTGCGCAGTACAGGTTTACTAGACGAAAAACAGCCACAGCATTGTATAACCAGGTCCCATATATCTAAATCAGCGAAACATAAATTGTTTCATTTTTGTATCTCATTATGAATAATGCTTCAATTGAATTTTTTAGGGGTTTTCCTGGATTTTACAGGAGGCAGTTCAGCTTAATACCATGCAATGTCAACAATTTTTTAGCATAATTATTATTCCATTTTTGTTGTCATTTCATCTATTTTTCTCAAATATTAAAATTTACAAAAACCGAAACAGCAACACCCCAAAAGTAAACTTAATCACTGTCAAGTGGAGGCCCTTTGACAAAAAAACAAATGCTTACAATATAATTTTTTCCAATAGATAAAACATCTGAAGTTAAATAATTAAAAAATAAAGTTATGAAACGAGCATAGTTTAAAAGGCATTTAAAATATTTAAATAGTCAGATGATGCAATACAATTATCTTTAATAATGTAGATAGAAAACACTTGTCTTCAAAACACATGAAGAGGTGTCCACATGTGCAATATGAATAATATAGGAAGAAAACAGGAAGTGGTGTAGACTTTTGGAACACAATTTCATTTTCACATCAATGTTCGACATGACCTCAGGTCCTACTCAGCATGACTCTTTTTTTAACACTATGTGCAAGTTGGCATAATCATATCTAAGTAATTCGTCTTAATTATAATAAAGGGTATCATCAGGCCTATACACACGTTTATATAAACAAAAGCGAGATAATAGATAAATAATAATAAGAGGCTCAATTAGGAACATAATGTTATAACCGAATCAAGCATAACCATTCAACACACCGTTCAAAACCCGATACACAAACCACAAATACACTTTTAACACCCCCAAACACAGAAACAGCACTGTACTCTCCAAATACGTATGGAAATTAAAAGACAGCAACACACCCTACAATATCAAA